TGTAATGAACATCCTGCTGAGGGAAGTTTATTACTTTTAGAGAGTCATTCATTCCATTCACTCATAGGTTTCATTCATGTATTCATAAATACTTGCCTAGTGCCTACTATGCACCTGCTACTGTTCTAGGCACTGAGGATAAAAAGATGCACGAGGCACAGATGTCACCCTTCACCAACAGGTTTGAAGTCTCAGGTGGTGCTGTCCAACAGAAGTATAACACGGGCCATTTGCAGTTGTATATTCTCCTGTCACCACATTTTCAAAAAGTAAACAGTTAAAATTTATTAGAATATTTTTATTGAACCCAACATATCCAAAATATCGCTTCAACATGCAATCAACATAAAAATATTATTAAAGAGATATCTTACAGTCTTTTTTTGTTTGATAACATCTTCAAAATCAGTTTGTACTTTACACTTACAGCACATCTTAATTTGGGTATTTTTTTAAATTGAAGTGTAGTTGATTTACAACATTGTGTTAGTTTTAGGTGTACAGCAAAGTGATTCAGTTATACATGAGCATATATCCTTTTTTTTTTTTTTTTTTTTCGGTACGCGGGCCTCTCACTGTTGTGGCCTCTCCAGTTGCGGAGCACAGGCTCCGGACGCGCAGGCTCAGCAGCCATGGCTCACAGGCCTAGCCGCTCCGCGGCATGTGGGATCTTCCCGGACCGGGGCACGAACCCGTGTCCCCTGCATCGGCAGGCGGACTCTCAACCACTGTGCCACCAGGGAAGCCCCATATATCCTTTTTTTCATGTTCTTTTCCATTATAGGTTATTACGAGATATTGAATAGAGTTCCCTGTGCTATACAGTAGGTCCTTCTTGCTTATCTACTTTATATATAGTAGTGTATATGTTAACCCCAAACTCCTAATTTATCCCTCCCCCGAGCACATCTCAATTTGGACTGGCCACATTTCAAGAGCTCAATAGCCACATGTGGCTAAATGACAGCAACTGACAGCACAGGGCTGGGGGAAAAGACAGATGCAGTCAAGGTGACTTTCAAAACACCATAGTAAATGCAGTGACAGAGATTTTGTTCAGGATCACTCAACCGAGGGAGTTCGGATTTGAGCCTCCAGTGACCTTCCAACCCCAGACCTGTTCATGCTGCCGCACATCAAAGACACTGCCCACTTCAAGCAGTGGCCTCATTGCTGGCCTCAACCAACCAAACTTAATATATCCAAAATAAAATTCATCCTCATACCTCAAATACCTCCTCCTGCTCTCTCATTTTCTATTTCAGCTGATGGCACCATTATCTATCTGTTCATTCAAGTCATCTTCATTACATCTTTAGACAAAAGGTTACTTTCTCTAGAAGATAATTTAAAATCTAAATGCTGGGACTTCCCTGGTGGCGCAGTGGTTAAGAATCCGCCTGCCAGTGCAGGGGACAAGGGTTCGAGCCCTGGTCCGGGAAGATCCCACATGCCACAGAGCAACTAAGCCCATGCACCACAACTACTGAGCCAGGGCACCTAAAGCCCGTGCTCTGCAACGAGAAGCCACCCGCTCGCCACAACTAGAGAAAGCCCACGCGCAGCAACAAAGACCCAAAGCAGCCAAAAATAAATAAATAAATAAATTTTAAAAATAAAATAAGCTTATAAAAAAATCTAAATGCTTATCCAAAAATGCACCTTCCTCTCCACCCCAACTAACCAAGCTTGCTCAGGCCACTTTCATCTCTCACATGGGTTGTCACAAGAACCTTTTTCTTACCCAGTTTTATTGAGATATAATTGACATTCAGCACCGTGTAAGTTTAAGGTGTATGGCATAATGGTTTGATACAGATAAAATAAGAAGCAAAAAAGAAAAAATTTCCTTAAAAACATGAACCTCTTCACGAATTTGCATGTCATTCTTGTGCAGGAGAGCCATGCTAATCTCTGTATGGGTCCATTTTAGTTAAAGTTTTGCCCAAGCCAGCAATGAAAACCTTTTAATTGGTTCCCTTACTATTTCATAAGGCCCTTCAAAGCTCTCCATCCCCTACATAACAAAGCCCATGATCTTTTTCACATAGCAAAGAATTCCCTCCAGGATGTGAGCTTTGCTTCTCTAACAATGCCCAGCTGTTTACCTTTCCTAGACCCTGAACAAGTTCTCTCGCCTCCTCTGAGCCTGCAATTCTTTTGTACTTTGGTTGGTTGGTTGGTTGGTTTTTTTGGCCGGGTCCCAAGGCTTGGGGGATCTTAATTCCCCCATCAGGGACTGAACCGGCCCCACCACTGAAAGCGCCCAGTCCTAACCACTGGATCGCCAGGTGTAAAAACAGCCATCCTAATCTCTCAAAAAGTTGACCTGAGGTTTAAAAGAAATATACTTTAAACAATACACAATCAAGGGTTCTCTGTACCCATTACTCCTTTATATATCTATCTAGTGCCCCTTTCCAATTAAATAACATTTATTGAATACTTACTATGTGCTAGGCACTTTGCGGGACACAAGACAATGGAAATACAGAAAAATAGATTGAATAACGCGACCTTTGCCTTACCCAAGCTCATCACAACATAGTTTCTCAACCAGTACCTTTAATAACTAGATAATCTCTAAAGTTAAGAGCAAATCACAGGGGCACTTCCCTGGTGGCGCAGTGGTTAAGAATCCGCCTGCCAATGCAGGGGACACGGGTTCAAGCCCTCGTCCGGGAAGATCCCACATGCCGGCGAGCAACTAAGCCTGTGCACCACAACTACTGAACCTGCGCTCTAGAGCCTGTGAGCCACAACTGAGCCCGAGTGCCACAACTACTGAAGCCCATGCGCCTAGAACCCATGCTCCGCAACAAGAGAAGCCACCGCAATGAGAAGCCCAAGCACGGCAACTAAGAGTAGTCCCCACTCACCGCAACTAGAGAACGCCCACGTGCAGCAACAACCCAACACGGCCAAAAATAATAAATTTAAAAAACAAAGAGCAAATCAGGGTGTCCCCACCGTTCCTTCAGGCGCCGCCTCATCCCAGCATCTGGGCTTTCTCCTGATGGGTAAACACCTCCGCCACGCCCCAATACAGAGTCTTAGGCCTCTCCCGGGGAACCTGACTACCGCCCACGTGGCAGGCGCGGGGCGGGGACTTGAGGCGCCTCTGGAGCCAGGACCTCTGCGCCTGCGCGCTGCGGCCAGCGCAAGGACCCGGATTTAAAGAGACAGACGTTACAACCTTGGTGGCTGCGCGCGGCCTGTGGGTGCCTGGCCCTAGGCCTGAGGTGGAGCCGGAGCCGGGAAGGCAGGTGAAGGACGGCGCGGCCGGGCTGGGCAGGGGGGAGAAAGGCAGCCCGGGCTCCGAGGCTGGGGCGGCTGGGAGCCAGCCTCCTGACCTCCTCCGCCCGCCCGGGGAGCCCCAGGGCACACCCTCCGTGACGTGGCGGCCCCCGGGGAGCTCCACCGGCCTGCGCCGAGGCAGGGTGCCCCCGGCTGCCGCAGGACTGCTCTGGCTGGATCTGCCCATCCGCCGCGCTGAAGTCGATGGGCTTCGGAGGGACCTCGGGAGCCTTTCTCTTCCCGCCGCGTCCGGGCTGTGTCCTGGAGGCTCCTCCTGCCCGAATCGAGGGATTCGCTTCCCCGTCCCCTCCCGGTGTCCCCGCTGTTCGCCCCGGGCAGTAGTAGCCCGTGCCCACTCCCGAAAGCGTCGCGGGGAGGCCCTCCGGCAAAAGCTGTCGCGGGGCTTTCACTTCCCGGCCCGGTTGCGTTCAGGCCTCAGTGGTTTCCTTTTCGGTTCCCTTTGATGAAATGCTGAGCGGCGGCTCTGGGGACTGTGAGCCAGGCGGGGTTCCTCACAGCGGCTTTGTGCCTTGTGGCCCAGCGCCTCCTGGGCCCTGCGGAGGGTCGGGCGCTGCGAGGGAGGTCCTCTCTTGTCGGCTCCTGTGGTCCCGGCGGGGGGGCGGGGGGAGGGGCGGGAGGGGAGGGCTTCGTTACTCGCCCTCCAAGGAAGGTGGTGAACCTTGTTCTGAGCGCCTCTTACAGGCCTACCGTGCTTTCCCGTACCTCACCTTTGTGGTTCCTCAACTTCTGGGGGTTATAGAGACCTTTGTGAGTTTCCTGAAAATCATGACTGTCTGTCCCCCCACAAAATGTACAATGCTGAATGTGCACCTTTTTGTATACATTTTCAGGGAGTTCAGAGCCTCCCCCCCATGGACTTATTTTAATTTTCCCAGCCATCCCGTGAGGTAGGTATTATTTTCTCTGTCTTAGAAATAAGAAAACAGACTCAGGGGAATTAAAGGAAATTCTCAAAGATAACATAGTCCTTGAACTGTATGGTCACACTTGTGCTCCCGTCTCGATTCCCAGTTACCTGCTGTCCTCTGCATCATGTTGCAGTACAGTAAGTAAAGCCTGCTTTCCATTATCACCCAATAGCAATTTCACTACAAAGGTGGGTGCAGGCTGAAAACAATGTCCAGTCTGTTTAAAGTTGGAACTGCGAGGATACTTCAGAAAATATGGATATAAGAAGGTGGGGGATGCCATGTGGATATGATACCTGTTTCCATTCGGGTTGATTGATCAGTTCCTCTGATTCTTGCTGTTTCAGCTACTTCAGCATTTCCCAATTCAAGCTGCTGAATTATAACCAGGCTAGTTTCACATAGGGAGCTTCAGCTTAAAGGATAACTGCTTCATTGATTTTGAGGGCTTTATTCTTGTGACAACTCTTTGAGTCAGGTACTATTATTATCCACATTTTACAGTTGAGGAAATTGAGGAACTGAGAGGTTAAGTAACCTACCAAGGTCATACAGCCAATGAGCTAGGATTTGAAACCAGGCAGTCTGGTTTTAGGCTCCATTTAATTGCCTCTCAAAATAGGGCTTCTGATTAAATCGCACATCTATATAGTGGCTTAATTATTTTCTGAGGACGGCATATATTTTATATTTCACATTAAAAACTTTATGAACATAATGTAGTGGGTTTTGTTTTGTTTTGTTTGCTGCACCACACAACTTGTGGGATCTCAGTTCCTCAGCCAGGGTTTGAACCCTGGCCACTGCAGTAAAAGTGCAGAGTCCTAACCACTAGACCACCAGGGAACTCTCAATGTAATTTTTCTTGATGATTAAAAAGAAACTTTAGGGTCTTATTATTCTTAAGGCTCACCATCCATTTTAAGGATTAGGGGCTGCTGGTGGCCTGAGAGAAGGTTTTGTGTTATTTGGAGTCTCTTGATTGTGATTTACTAGATACACATGTATACATTAGATAATTGAACATCCTTTTGCAAACTGAATTTTCCTGTATTGGAACTCTGAATCAAGTAGGCAATAAATCTTTCATACCTGGTCTTCCCTGGTGGTCCAGTGGTTAAGACTCTGAGCTTCCACTTTAGGGGGTGCAGGTCCGATCCTGGGTGGGGGAACTAAGATCCCACGTGCTGTGCTGCACAGCCGGAAGAAAAAAAAAAATCTTTCATACTTTGGGAAATGTTTGATTGGTCAGCATGGATTGTGTTAGGATGTCTGCCTTTGAGGGAATTAGAAGCCTACCTCCTCGTTTATAACTCACTTTTCTGCCTCTCACCCTTTCATGCAGCTGTATGACTTTGGCTTTTAAGATCCTCTTACCACCAACTCTCCGTGCGCTCAGCCAAAAAGAACTGTGCCTATTCCGAGAACAACATCACTGGCCTGACATAAGACAGTTCAGCCGGTGGTCGGAAACAGTTCTTCATGGACACCACCTCCTCCAGAGAAGAAAGCCTGTTGTGTCATTCCAGGAAAGCAATCTAAGACCACGTGCCACCTGCCTTGTTTTCTTGCCAGGGTCGCATGTGGGAGTCTGCAGTGGCCCCTGTGAGATGGCAGAGCAACGGTTCTGTGTGGACTATGCCAAGCGTGGCACAGCCGGCTGCAAAAAATGCAAGGAAAAGATTGTAAAGGGGGTGTGCCGAATCGGCAAAGTGGTGCCCAATCCCTTTTCAGAGTCAGGGGGCGATATGAAAGAGTGGTACCACATTAAGTGCATGTTTGAGAAACTGGAGCGGGCCCGGGCCACCACAAAAAAAATTGAGGACCTCACAGAGCTGGAAGGCTGGGAAGAGCTGGAAGATAATGAGAAAGAACAGATAATCCAGCACATTGCAGGTGGGATGGAGAATACTGCTTTCTCATCTTATTGGTGCTGAGAAGAAAAGGGATGAGAGTAGAGCCCAATTTCTTTCTTCCTGTTTGTCTTTCTGTCTTTGTTTTAATTTTTGGTTCAGAAATTACTTCAAACTCACAGAAGAGTTGCAAGAATAAAAATAATACAAAGAATGCTCATATTCACCTTTTTTTTTTTTTTTTTTTGGCCACACCACGTGGCTTGTGGGATCTTAGTTCCCCAACCACAGATTGAACCCGGGTCCTCAGCAGTGAGAGCGCAGAATCCTAACCGCTGGACCACTGGGGAATTCCCTCAGATTTACCTATTGTTAACATTTTGCTCTCACGTGTGTGCGCTCTCACACTCTCTCTTACTCTCACCTTCCACACACACTTTTTTTTTCCTGAACCATTTGAGCATACGTTATGGCTCTTTGCTTTTAAATACTTCAATGTGTATATCTTAAGAATAAGGATATCTTGACCATACTACACCTATCAACCAGTAAATTTATCATGATATAATACTTTAATCCACCATCTGTATTCTAGTTTTGTCAGTTGATCAGATAATTTACAGCTTTTCTCTCCCTTCAGTATGGAATCCTAATCTAAGATCGGGTATTTCATTTAGTTGTCATTTCTGGCCTCCTTTAATCTGGAACATTGCCATGGTCTTTTTCTTTTATGACATTGACATTTTTGAAGAATAGAGTACCTACCACTACACCTTTTTATCCATCAACTTATTATCTGTATGAACTCATAGATTACTACTTTTTCCTGGTGGCTTATAATTGTACTGTATTAATTTGGTGCTAAATTGTCCCATATTTGGCCAGTTGAGAGCCCCTTTAAGCTAGTTTCTGTCCTCAATGCCCAAATCACATTTTTAAAAACGTTTTAAAGTACTTCCTTATTCTCTGGCATAACAGTATGCTTGCTCTTAGGCTTACCTTGTATGTATCCTATCTTATCCCTGGAATCAGCCATTTCTCTGGAGTCCTTATTCCTGTTAGTGGGGAAATGGCATAAGAGACCAAAATCTAGATGTTCCATGTCCTGGGTGCCATGAGGTGTCCTTGCTTTTAAGCCCTTTCAGCAGACAGAACTAGAAAATATATGTTCGTATGTACGCAAAAACATATATACAGATATATATGTGCACATACGTGCATATTCACATGTATGCATATTTTAGAAATCTTATACTGATACTTACAAATCCAATTTGTACTTCCTGACCTTCAGTGTCTTCATCTATAAAGTAATATTCATATCTTCAATTAAGTTTAGTTCTGGTCACTGTAGGAGTACTCTAAAATGGGCATCTATCTTTGTTCTTTGAGAGGAAAAGAGATTTCTGGGAGAGAAAACTACTCATACATTTTTTTCTCAAGCTCCCCTCCTGCCCTGCCTGGCCTTAGCCATTGGCCTCAGCCTTTGACCCATCTCATTCAGAGGAAGAAAAACATGAGGTAGAAGTAAACTGTCAGCTCAAATAACTCAGCAGCTGGAAGGTTTTTCCTACTTATACCAAATCAACATGCTCTGTTTATCCATCTTCATTTTGCTTTCTTGGTTATCTATAAATTGGGGCTAATTCCATAAGCTGAGGTCGCCACATTTTATCTGTTGAGACGTGATTTCTGATTTCCTCCAAATAATCTGGAGATTATTATATGTGGGATAAGGGGTGGACAGTGTCGATGAAAATTTAAGTTACTAATGAAAATAAAGAGTAACTGAGTCTTTTGTCCCCAGGACACCCTCTCCCTAATAACCTATTACTCACTACCTCCACTTTAGAAGACCAGCCAGCCAGTAGTCAGCATTGGGTTAATACCATGGTAGTAACTTACCTAGCCAGGCTGTAAGAGCAGTTGATAGATTCTTTAGAAGCTTTCTCAGGGATCTTTCACTGAAGGATATTTTCCCTTCTTTTGGGGTCCTACAGATCTGTCTTCCAAGGCAGCAAACACACCAAAGAAGAAAGCTGTTGTCCAGGCTAAGTTGACAGCCACTGGCCAGGTGACATCTCCAGTGAAAGGTGCCTCATTTGTCACCAATACCAATCCCCGGAAATTTTCTGGCTTTTCAGGTAAGATAGATCAGTGTTACCTGAGCTGTTACAGTCCTCCTTTTAATTTGGTATCCTATTTGGGACTCTGGTTAAGAGTGAACATTCTGGGGGCTTCCCTGGTGGCGCAGTGGTTGAGAGTCCGCCTGCCGATGCAGGGGACACGGGTTCGTGCCCTGGTCTGGGAAGATCCCACATGCCGCGGAGCGGCTGAGCCTGTGAGCCATGGCCGCTGGGCCTGTGTGTCGAGCCTGTGCTCCACAACGGGAGAGGCCACAACAGTGAGAGGCCCGCATACCGCAAAAAAAAAAAAAGAGTGAACATTCTGTGCTATCTAGCCTCCTTAATACGGTGACCCTTGAACAACATGGGCATTAGGGGCTCCAAACCCTCTCTACACAGTTGAAAATTTATAGTCTACCCTCCTTATCCCATGTTTCTCCATATCCATTGTTCTACCATACCCTCAGTTTGCATCCATGGATTCAATCAACTGCAGATTGTATAGTACTTATTTGCTGTTGAAAAAAATCTGTGTGTAAGTAGACCCATGCAGTTCAAATCTGTGTTGTTGAAGGGTAATTTGCTTCCATCTGAGCAGAGAGGTAATGGCTAATGCTCATTGCCCCACTTGTATAGCATTTCTTTGTATATTTTAATCTCTGTTGCAGCAAAAAGATGTTTGTTTTGTCAAGACTTTTTCCCCTTGAAGTAGTTTACCTGGATCAGACATAACCTGCCCTTTACTTCCTTTTTTTTTGATAATGGAAGAATCTTGAGAAATTGCATGCGTAAACTTGCCCAAACTGGAGATGAAAGTAGAGAAGATGGGAGATGTCCTGCATGGCCTTGTGTAGCAGATAGCGTTGGGCTGGGGGCTTTTACATACACGGTTTCATTTGTTTTTCATTAAACTTTGGGAAGTACTTGTATTAGGCCCATTTTATGAATGAGAAAGCCAATGCTCCGCATCGTTATGGAGTTAGTATTTACACTGAAGTCTGTTTAACTCCAGCACCTGTGGTCTTTTACCCTACAACCTGTTACTTCTTTTATATGGAGACATTCTTGTGACTGCCTCAGCTAAAGAAAATAAAGTCAAAACACATGGGCTCAGAAGTTGTTTGAGGAGGTTGCTTCTATAATGAGTGAAAGAAGCCGGGACTTGAGGTCAGAAGACCTGGGTCCTGGTCTGAGCCTCTGTGGCGTCATCTGTGAAGTGGGAATGGCAACACCTGCCTTGATCCCACAGTGTCTCACAAGGAATAAAGGAGATAAAATTGCAAAAACAGTGTCTGACTCTGGGATGTTTTATTATTTTAAAACTCCGAGGTTTGCTTGGTTTTTGTCTAGTGGTAGGCCAAAGATAGAAATATGGAAGAGTCCAGGTGACAGTAAGGGCAGTGTGTTTCTGGAAGGGCCCTGGTTCTAGGGGGCGAATTTGGGAGAAATGAGGTGTTCTAGTTCTTACAAGCTGCTGAACAGTGACATTTTGGAGATTTTGTCCCCTAAAATCCTCTTTAGACTCCGGGTTAGAGATGAGGATAGATTTATAATTTACAGAGCCCAGGCAAGAAGACACTTATATCAGCAGACAGCTTGCTAATGGCTTTGCTGCAAGCTTGCAGAATGAAATTTACTTTGTAAATGGTCACAAGGAGGTAAAAGAGGATCAACTCAAAAGAGTTGTACAGTTATTTGGGGTGTCTGGAGGAAAGACCTACTTTTTGTTTTTATGATAAGAAAGAAAAGAAAGTGGTGTGGGGTTGGGTGGGAGTGGCAAGGAGCTGGGAATGTCTTCTCTCCTCTGGCCTTGGTCTCCTCATCAATAAGAAGAGATTAAACTAGATAATTTTTAAGTCTTCTTCCA